GTTTAAAATTCTTTTGGTGAAGTTGAATTGTGATCTTTTTAGTTATAGTTGAATCTAGTTATTTTAGTTTTGGTTTTGTGTTGCTTTCGTTAAAACAGAGGAGGAGATGAGCGTTAACAGAAGTTATGGTAGCCAAGTGGGCCACCAAGATGATGTTGGAAACCTCAATGATGTTAATGACCTAAACATCAATGACCCAGTCCAAATGGATGGTGTTGGAACCATTCATTTACCTCCAGCTGAAGGAAACATTATATTTCACATCACAAGCACCATGCTTCAGCTCCTACAATTGAAAGGATTATTTGGGGGGGTTGGCTCATGAGGATCCCCATGAGCATATTAGAAATTTTGTTGATGTATATGGACTGTTCTCATTTAAGAATATATCGCAAGAATTGGTCCATCTGAGGTTGTTCCCATTTGCTCTGTTGGGCAAGGCAAGAAAGTGGTTGGCAGAGTTACCATGAGATTCCATTACTTTTTGGATGGAGCTGATCACAGTATTCCTAGTGAGATTTTTCCCTCTATCAAAGATGATGATACTTAGGGATAGCATCCAAGGTTTCAAATACTTGGACGGTGAGCCGATCTATGAGACGTGGCTGAGAATTTGGTGTTGCAATGTGCAACTCATGGTCTTCCCAATAATGTACTGCTGCAGCACTTCTATAGGAGTCTTGATTCAGTGAACAAAGGAGTTGTTGATCAACTTGTTCTCGGTAGTATAATGCAACAACCCTATGAAGTAGCTTCCCAACTCCTTGATTGCATGATGAAGATCAATAGGGCATGGTACGCTCGTGAGTACCAAGTCTTTCCTCTCAACTTTAGAATGACAAATGAGCAGATAAAAAAAGATCAAGAGAGAGACCAAAACATGGAAATGATAATGACCCAGCTGGACATCTGGTCTAAAAATGTCATGGGTGTTGCTATAAAGAGTGTTAATGTTGTGGGTGTTGGTGGAGTTAACCCCGATGAAGCCGAATTTGAAGCATTGTACAATGAGGAAGTGAACTCCATAGTCAATCAAAGAGGAGGCTATCGTGCAAAATACCCAAGACCGGGTGGAAATCAGAGTTGGAATAGAGATGAGAGTTGGAGAGATCGTGAAAGAGATTGGCGTGATCGCAGCTGGAAGGAAAGAGAGCGGGAGAAGGATAGGTATGTTCCTCCCATGAGAATCAAAAGCCCAAGGAATCTGAGGGTGGCCGTATGGAAGACATGCTTTCACGCATTCTCGACAAGGTTGAAAGGTCTGATAAAGTGTTGAAAGAAATAAAAAAGGATATTTCGACTCTCAACCAGATGGTGACCTTTCACTCAGTCTCTATTATGCAGTTGGAGACCCAAATGGGTCAAATTTCGTCACATTTGAATCCAAGACAATAAGGGAATTGCCTAGTGATACAATGGCTAACCCCAAAAATGAAACTTGAATGGGTACTTTCGTGGTGCCACGATGTTAACTAAGGCGCTTCTTGGGAGGCAACCCAAGTTTTTAATGCTTTAAGTTTGATTTTGATTAACGGCTGTTGATTATGCAGGGTGAAAACTGAAGTGTGTTTGAGAATGTGCAGTTTGACGAGCCAAAAGTCCATTCGGCAACTCATTGAAGAAGTCAGCGAGCCCAACTTGGACTGCCGTTGGACCTACAAAACTTGAAGTAGAAGTCTGTAAAACTTAGCTGGCCAATTACTTAATCGGCGACTCACCGAACAGGTCGGCGAGCCCGATTTTGACCGCCGTTTGGACCCCCAAATTGACTGGAGGTCCTGTAAAACTCAAAAAAGTGAGTTACCACTCGGTGCATCGCTGAGTGGTTTGGCGTGGTCGACTTATACCGCTGAAAGGGCCGCGAACTGAATGGTTTTAAAAGGCTAAACATTTTATAATTTCAAAATCTTTCATATTTTCTCATTTCTAACCCCGTACACTCTCACCCGCACTTTAGATTCTCTATACTTTACTATTTCGTTCACTTTTTGTGTGTGATTTCGTGCTCAGAATCGGAATACTTTGCTGCCTAACTTTTCAAAATATCAATTCGGCATACATGTTTGTTTTCCGAACCCCGCACCTTTGATTAGTGGTTGAAATCAAATTCTATCAGTAAATATGTGTTGAAATGTGTTGGGTAATTGTTTAAATCATGTTTTATGTATCGGATTGCCCGTATTATTTTTGAACTTATGCCTAAATGCTTAAAAAGATGATTTCCCGTGTTTACAATTGTGACCCCCTCTTTATCCATTCACCCATAACTCTCATGAAGTGTGGTTTGTTTGAATTGCCAACTTATTCCAAAAACCTAAGTTGGGGGTCTGGTGAAAAGAGAAAGGAAATCAAGAAGTGGGAGAAATTCCCCCTTTGAGCAATGGTTTTGAAAAAGATGGAACCCCTCCATGTAAAAAAAAGAAAGAAAATAAGAAAAAAAAGAATGAAAAAGTTGTGAAATAAAGTAGTGTAAGTTGAAAAATATATGGGGTATCCGGTAGTCCATTTGAGGTTGAATAATGAGGTGAATTATGAGCATAATCAAATTGTTAAAGAAAAGGAAGAAAGTGATGTTCAGACCATACTTCATGAGGGTAGCTGCCACTGAGCCTAAATGACCATACCTTTACACTCAACCCCGTTTCAAGCCTTGAAAAGACCTTTGTGATCTTGAGTGAGCTGAAACAAATGTTGATTGGAAAATAAGGGCAAACCTATGGGTGAAGTCATGCACATGTTCATCTTTGTGGGTGTGAGAGTCGTATGTGATTTCGAAACTATAAATTGTTGAAGAACTTTGTGTGAATATGAAATCATTTTTGTTGTGAGGGTATTTGAGTACCTTTGTTGACCTTGAACTTGCATTTGAAGCAATTATTGTGAACATGAGCATCTTTGATAATGGTGAGTCACAGTTTGAATCTTTTAGAGCACAATTGATCATTGTATGAGTAAGTTGAATCTTGTTGTGTGCATTCATGTTGAGTCTTATGCATCACTATTTGAGACACCCTTTTTGAACTGCTGATCTTGAGTTTACTTGAGGACAAACAAAAGTTTAAGTTGGGGGTGTTGATGAGTCTGAGATTTGGACTCATCTGAGGCCTTGTTTATATAGATTTAGTGTCCTCAAATGCTTAATTTGTGTCATAAACTGATTTTAAAGCCTTGAATTTCAGGTATATGGATTGAGGAACAAAGCAAGGACACTGACAGGCAAAAATGAGTAAAACAAACTGAAGAAATGAAGAAAGACAAGCCTGGTGATTGCCAAGAGCACTTGGCGAATCGCCGAGTGGCTAGCTTGACCACCTAAAGTTCCAGTGTGCCAGCCCTGAGGGAAGAAACCAAGTCAGTGACAAAAAAGAGTAATCGGTGAATTGTCGAGCAGTTCCGTGATGCAAAGAGAGATTGCCCAAAGTTACAGAACTTGAGGATGCTGAGTGCCAAGGAAAAAAGGCGATGAAAGAGATCAATGGGTGGTTCGACGAGCCGACTTACTTCGCCATACGACCCTTTGTGGGTTATTTTTGGCTACTATAAATTAGATTTTTGAACAATTATTTTAGTATGCCGACAGAGTTGACTTACACTGGTTAATGCTAAATTAGCTTAGAACACTTTTGTCTGTAGGTTTTTATAGTTTTGAACAATTTAAGAGCAATTCGGAGATTTTGGAAGTGGGTTTTGAATATTACGCAAATTGAATCATTGTAAAGACTAAATTACTCTTACCTAGTTGATGGCTAATCCATTCGGTAATTGTTTTTACCATTTTATGATGTTTGGCTAAAACCCCAATTCTTGGGGTGTGATCATGCGAGTATGGATTGAATTAGTTTATGGTATTGTTAATTACTAGTTTAAATGCTAAATCGAAGTGAGTTTCATCATTAATTGTGGTTTAATTTATGAATTATAGTTGCAAATGCAATTCTAATTTTCTTGCTCGAGAGAGAGGTTTTAGAACTAAGGTTATTGTTATTTTAAAGTTTTTGTGACTACTTTGTAATTGATAATTGAAAATCGAAACCCCCATTTGACATTCGTGTCACCCCTTTTAATTTGATTAATGTATTTTTTCGATAATTTCTATTCCTATGGATGATTATACCACATTTGTACTTCCTATTTGAATTTAAACACGTATCGCGCTCTGTGGGATTCGAGCCCAACTCTTTGTTGGGTTTTATACTGCTTAACGATTGTTTGCAGTTAGAATTGGATGAGGTGTGCTTGAAACATTAATTAGAGTCTCTGATGGTCCGAAGGAGGACAGTGAGATGCGATAGCGATGATATCAACGCTGTGTTTGAGAGGGCTGTATGCTTTGTGCACAAGTACTAGAGTATGATCACTGCAATGACTCTGGATGACCTGAGGATATGGCCTGCTCCCTTAATTTCTAATAGCACTCCTAGGTGGATTGAGGCTGGAGTGCCAATCGAGAAGAAAGACCTCAATGTAGCAGCTTGGTACTGGTTTGGGTTCATCAGCAGCTCAGTCATGCTGTCACAGAACGAGTCCATTCTCCGCCACCAAAAGGTGGCCTGTCTCAGATCTATTATTACTAGGGAGCGACTGAATTTTGGGCTGATTATCGAGTAACATATGGCCATGAGGGCCAAATAGTGCCCGATGTCCCTTGTGTTTCCTGTACTCATTACAGAGTTGTGTCGTGGGGTAGGAGTTCCTCGTGATGAGAAGAACGATGTTGAGGTTATACCCACATCGTCCATCGACAGCCGACGTATAGAGGCCGAGTTCACTCAGGACGAGGCTGATAGGAGAAGAGCAGCTCCAGTGGATACATCCCCGGAGGTTGATATCGATTCATTACCTAGAGAGGCAGTCTTTTCTACTCCAACCTCTGGGCCTTCAAGTACATCTAGTTTTACTCCTTCTCAGGCTCCGAGTTCTTCTACTGCTTCCCCACCCCTAGAGCTATTGCTGGTTCTATTACCTCCAAACCTCTGATCACTCAGGCCATGCTCTTCAAGATGGGGCACCTAGCCCATTCTGCTGATGTGCGGGCTTCTCGACTAGAGGCCGAGGTGCCCTGGATGATTAAGAGAGCTATTACTGTTGTGCTGACACCTCTCCGGGCTTCCATGGATACTTTCACGGCGAGAGTAGAGACTTGGGAGAGAGGAAAAGGTGTTACTACTGAGGTTACAACTTTGAAAACCGATGTTTCTAAGTTGAGGAAGGATGTAGACCATCTGAAGTCCATAAATTTTACTTCATTATTTGGGATGGTGGAGATCCCAGATGATTCGAATGTTGAGATTCAAGCTTATGCTGAGGTAGCTCCAGCTACACCAGAGATGATATTATGGATGAGCAAAATCTTGAGGTGTGAGATGCGGCCTTTTATGAGGATCTGGCCGACTTAGAAGGTGCCATGTTTGAGACTGCCCAACAGGCCTCCTTCAGAGACACTACTATGGCAGGCTCTAGCCGGTCCACAACTGATTCTTCACCGGACACTGATTCCCAATCTCAGAGTGTTACCCCGGGCACTGATGCCCTGACAGACGAAGTGAATGAGTAGACAGTATGATTTTCCCCTCCCTCTCTGTTATTTTGTGATACTTTATTGTAACGACCCTAAAAATGAACTAGTGAAACTAGAGCCTAACTAGTGAGTGTGTCTTAAGTTTGGAAGTGGTTTAATGTTGTCCTGAGCCATGGTTGAGGTGTTTAGGGGTTATACGTCAAGGTATGACCCCACAAGGACCACCTTGAAACTTTTCTAGTTAAGTTTATAGACGGTTATTTTGGGGTTATTAACATATTTTAAGAGTATTAAAAATGTTAAACTCTATTTTACATTCTATTATTTCAAAACCCCAAATACAAACTACCTTTCCCCTCCAAAAGATCTCTCTCTAGAGCCTCAATTAGAGGTGACGACTCTAATCTTCCAAGGTCAAAATCTTCAAGGTTTTCAAAGGATTTTCAATGGAATTTCGTAGGAATAAATAACAAGGTACGGTAGTCTTGATCCTTGTCTAACTTGTCATTCAAGGAGCCAACTCAAAGGTGATTTCAAAGTATGAAAAATCTAGGGTTTTACTCAATCTCATGGGTTCTTTCATGAAACGTTTTGAAATGGTTTCTAATGACAAATTATGATTGTATTGGTGTTTAATTGATGATTTATGTTGAAAATACTTCATGAACCCATGAATTCTCTCAATTCCTAAATTGTGCCTTATAAAGTGGGTTTGTTGATCATGAATGAATGTTGATGGATTATGACTAAATTGATTTAGATTGTTGAATTGTATCATTATACATGCCTTAATTGTAGTAAATTGTTGGTGTGTTGGTCACTTTTGATCATGGCCTTGAAGGGGCAAGTTATGGTCTAATTACATGTTGAAGTAGAATTGTGCTTTATCTATAGATCCACTTGAAAGGTGTAGGTGTTTACTTACTATGTATATTCTGGTATTGAATTGATGGATATCTTCTTTGTTCCTCTATATGTGAAGGAACTATGTGTGATCATGAAGTAAATTGTTTGTGTGATTTCAATGAATGTATACTGATCATATTTAGAATGAAAACGTGTTATGATTTAATGTTATTTCTCAATTAACACCTTTGAATGATGAGGCTTTGATGAGTTCACAAATTGGACTCATTTAGGGCTTTCTTTTAATAGAAATAGTGTCCTCAAATGCATATTTAGTCTTAATATCTGATAAAAACACTTAAGTTTCAGGTATTTGAAGTTTTAGTGCAAGCATAGACACTTAGGCGCAAAAAGGAACAAAAGGGCTAAAAAGAACAAAGAAGCTGAAGCCTGAGAATCGCCAAGCATGCTTGGCGATTCACCAAAGGGACGCACTCCGCCTTTTGTTCCAGTAAGCGAAGCCTTGAAGGAAAAGGATAGAAAACACGATGACAAGAGCAGTCGGCATTTCGCCGATCAATTTCGCGAAGCAGAAGTATACCGCCCAATGATCTAGAACGCATAGATGCTGAAGGTAAAACACAAAGGGCGATGAACTAGAAGAAGGGCGAATCGCTGAGCCATTCGGCGTTCGCGACCAACCTCGCCTAGCGATCCGCCAACACTATTTTTTGAAGTCAATAAATACTAAAATCATTATTAATTTTAAAAAAAGAAGAACCACTATTATAATTTTCACACAGTGTAGAATTTTGGATATTTTGGCTCTAAGTTTGAGAGGATTTTGGAGACTTGAAGAAGAAGAGGGCTTCATCTTCTAGATTTGGAGTTGGGTCTCTTGGATTCTTCATTCTTGGCCTGTAACAAGACTTAAATCTTCATACCCATTTGAATGTAAGCTCATTTAGGTATAAACTTCTATCTGTTGATGTGTGGCTAAAAACCCAATTCTTGGGGTGGGATTTAGCGAATATGGGTTAAGATAATTGTTGGTCTTGCTTGTTGATAGTTTATTTGTGGTTTAATTGTGATTTCATTTAGTGGTTGTGGATGAATCTAATGAATTTGTAATTGCAAATACAAGTTTATTTTTGTGTTTTCGGCTTGCTCGAGAGAGAGGTCGTAAAACTAAGACCACTAAATTGATGGCCAGTGTGAGTGGGTCGACATGAGGTTCAACTCGAGAGAGTGAATCCTAGTCCCATATCCACATACTCAGCTCGAGAGAGTGAGTGGTTTAAGTCATAGGCTGGTCTTCATACGACAAATGGATGTTCGAGAGGAAGACATTTGAAACGGGGTAAGTTGCTCGAAAGAGAGCTTATCCCCTTTAAAGTCTAGCCTAGTTACAATTATTTTGTGAATCTTCTATCGAAAGCTTGTACCCAATAATCTAGATTAACCCGTATTCCCATCACATCCCAAAGATCCCCCTGATTAATTTAAAACCCTTGTTTATTTTGCTGTTTTAACTTACTAGTGACAAAAACCCCCCATTGTTAAATTGAGACTGTTCTGTCGCCCCTTTTAATTTATAATGGTTTTACTCGTTAATGTCTTTAGCTATGACTAGTTAGAACTAAATTTTATTTTTCTATAAATTCTCAAAACTACTCTCTTGGGACGATCCCAACCCTTGGCTAGGTTACTAAACTATTGTACAATCGTAGACACTTGCATCGGAAGTTATGTCTTGATTACACAAACATCAAAATGGCGCCTTTGCCGGGGATTGGTGTTATTTGAGAATTTTTATATTAGTAGAATTTTCGTTCTTCTTAGTTGTAGTCTACTTACCTAATTTTTGGTTTTGTTTGCTGTGTGAATATTTCTAAAAGCATGAGTGCTAATGGTAGCAACGGTAGCTAGGTAGGCCACCAAGATGACATCGGAAATCTAACGATGTTGAAGAGCCCAACATCAACATCAATGGCCCCCATCTCATGGGAGGTGTTGGAGCCATCCGTTTACCCCAGCCGAGGGAAATGCAGTGTTCCACATAACGAGCACCATGTTGCAACTCTTGCAAGTAAAGGGACTTTTCAGCGGACTGGCTTATGAGGATTCTCATGAGCATCTTCGAAACTTTGTGAATGTATGCGGACCTTTCTCGTTCAAGAAAATCTCTCAGGAGTCGGTCCAGTTGAGGCTATTCCCTTTCTCGTTGATAGGAGAGGCATGCAAGTGGCTAGCCGAGCTACCATGTGAATCTATTACTTCTTGGGAGGAGTTGATAACTGCATTTCAAGTGCGATTTTTCCCTCCCTCGAAGATGATGTCACTGAGGGATAGTATCCAAAGCTTTAAACGTCTAGAAGGAGAGCCTCTGCACGAAACATGGCTGCAATTTAATAAATTGGTGCTACAATGCCCGACTCATGGTCTTCCCAATAATGTCTTGCTACAGTACTTTTACCTCAGCCTGGACTCAATGAATAAAGGTGTCGCTGATTAACTTTCACCTATATGCCTGATGCAACAACCGTATGCAGTAGCATCCCAACTTTTAGATGGCATGATGACTATCAATAGGGCATGGTACACCCGTGAAGACCAAGTCTCCCCTCTAACATTCAAACTATCCAAGGAGCAGATAGACAATGATAATGAGAGAGACCAAAACATGGCCAAGATCATGACACAACTTGATATTTTATCCAAAATTGTCATGGGGGCTGGTGCCCGTGGTGTCAATGTTGTGGGGGTTGGGTGTGCAAATCCTGACGAGGCAAATTTCGACGCGATTTCAATTAATACTGATGAGTTGAATTGTAATCTCAATTGAAAAAACATGAACGTGCGGCTGCGACGGGACCAAATGAAGTTGAATAGACAATATGTGAACTCTTTGCATATTGTTGTGATTAGCCATTTATCGAATTGATTCTCTTGTAATGACCGTTGCACACTAGCGAAAGTGTGTGGTCTTGTTTGACTTAAGTGTCGATGCCTTGTGTGATGAGCTTACTTTGAATCTTGCATGAATAAACCTAGAATTTTCCCTGTTAGTCTGATTGATTTAGTAAGGTGTGCTCTTGAAATGATCTTAGGCAACTTTTGAAGAGTGTGAGCCAAATTTGACATATACCTCTTTCGTGGCCTACTTGTGAGCGTGTGAAACTCTCTTGAACACCCTTTGTGCCTTACCTTTATTTGGAAGAACTTTGATGAACCCTATACCTTACTTGACCCACTACCTATAATCCTCTTGATTTGTGGTTTAGCAAATAGCCAACTTAGGCTAAAAGCCTAAGTTGGGGGTGTGGTGAAAAGGAAAAGGAGAAGTCAAGAAGTGCAAGAAAAGTCTCCCTTAACCCATGGTGTTTCAGAACAATGGAACCCCTCCATATTAAAAATAAATAAATAAAAGTCATGGAATAAAGTACAAAAGAAATTGGGTTTCAAGCAATCCATTGAGGTGAATAAAAAGATGACTTAGAAGCACTAGAAAAAGAATTGATAAAGGAAAAGAAGGGATGCCTTGAGAATACCACATCTCACGAGGAAAAAGTCACTGAGCCTAAATGACCATACCTTTGCACTCATCCACATTACAAGACTTAGAAAGACCTTTTTGATCTTGAGTGCGCCGAAGCGAAGATCGATTGGAAAATAAGGGCAAGCCTATGGGTGAAAACATGCATTGTGTTCCTCTTTTTGAGTGTGAGCATTGCATCTGATTCCTGATCTTGAATTGATTAACCTCTGTGTGTGAATATGGAATCATTCTTTATATGAGGGAATTTATATACTTTTTGTTGAGCTTGAACTTGCACAAGTAGTAAATATTGCGAGCATGAGAATCTTTGGTAATGGTGTGTCACAATTTGAATCTTTGAGTACACAATTGATCTTTGCATGAGTAATTTGAGTCTTGTTATGTATGTTCATGATTTAGTCTTGTGTAGCACTATTTGAGACATCCTATTTGAACTGCTGAACTTTAGTTTTACTTGAGGACAAGCAAACGTTTAAGTTGGGGGTGTTGATGAGTCTGCAAATTGGACTCATTTAGGGCTTTATTTTAATAGAAATAGTGTCCTCAAATGCTTATTTAGTCTAAATATCTGATAAAAACACTTAAGTTTCAGGTATTTGAAGTTTTAGTGGAAGCATGGACACTTAGGTGC